AACTTAAAGCGAGATGTGCAGAAACAATCCGCTGTAAACCAAAAAGCAGCTGAAGCAATGTAGTGAAGAAAAGTGGGTCAGAAAGCTTGTTGGGAACTGATGAGCTCAAACAGAAGATTATTTCTAGTTGTTGAGGCTAAAGGTGGCTTTATCACAACTCTATCCAAGATTTTATTTAAATATAGTGAGGATATTTAATGTTTAACACTAATTATACGTATCATAATGCTGGAATGAAGGCTGACAAGACAACCACAGTTAATATCCCAAGCTGTTTGTTTAGATTGGTTTCACAGATCGTGTGATGTTGGTGCATTTTTCTAACCTTCTGTTTGTTGATCCAGCTTCAAATTGTAAATCCCATCTGATTTCTTTTTGATGGTGACGTTAAACAGGTATTTTCTGAATTCTCATAAAAAGCTCATTGTTTTCCAGCTGAGCCGACGAGGCCTGTAATTATCATTTAGCTTTCACCGTTTCCCACAGAACGAGCTGTGAGCGTCAGAAGCCAGACTCAGGTCAAACCACACCGATACTTACACAACGTCATGTTTCAGTCCCACAAATGATTGTCACGAGTATTTGATTTGTAACTAAAATAAAGAATGCCATTTAAAATCCTCCCAGTCCTCTGCTGCACATATAAACAGCGTGTATACACTGGAATATGGCTGAAGCAGAAGTTAAACTTTGATCAGCCGTTCCAGCTGTGCATCTTCTGGTGAAGGTGAGCCAAAATAGAAGCAAACATGTTAAGTTATCGACCGCCACCTTGAGAATCGTGTAAGCTCTTGTGTCTGCGTTTTTGTGTTTGCTCACTTGTTTGTCTGTTAGCAGAATATCTCATGAACTAGAGGACAATTTTATTTAAACTCAAGAAAAATCATATAATTGATGTACATCTTTAACTTATTATTTTATGTTTTCAACCTGATTCAAGATGGCCACTGCAGCTAATCAACCTTAGAAAACACCGAAGTACCGCAGAGATTCTTGAGATAAGGGACAAAGCAGGCTTTCGAAACATTTATTTTAAAATGCACACATGTGGAATTGTATGTCTGTAAAATAGGTTGCTTAATTCTACTTTTAAGGAACAGGTTCAAAACAGAAACATTTAAATAAAATAAGCTTGTTTTGTTTTACAACTAGTTTTCTGTCAACTCCTTCAGACACTATAAAAAACATAATTTTATTTTTTTTCTGTCCATCAAGAATCCAAAGACCTGAAAGATGACTGAATAGTATTTGGTTAGTAAGGCAAGTATTCTCCTGCTAAAACCTGTATTGCACACTGATGCTAGCTGTTCTTTCTTCACTTTCTTGCTGCCCTGATAGTCTCACAAAAAAAAAAAAAAAAATTTATTCCACAAACGCTTTAAAAATATGATCACAACCAGGAGATGGTGATGACGTTTTTCAGCTGTGACCATAGAAGCATCAACATTGGTTGTGTGAAATGTCAAAAAATGCAAACCTTACCAGAACGTGTGCAGTTGTGTAACATTCAACACAAGCATGAGAGGAAAGAGAGATCTCAGTGACAAACGCTGACCATGTTGTTTGCTGATTTAGTGAGAATTATTTTTAAAAATCTGATGGAGTTGACAAAAACTGAGGACGCAACTTTGACAAGCAGATTTTTAGAGAGAATGTTGTTTAAAAGCCCCTTTATGGATTGTTTAATGTATATTTAATTATTAGAAAATAATATTAGTAATTAGTAGCTATTAATAATATTAGGAAATACAACTTCTGGCACGGACTAGAACCGACATTTGTTTATGTGTGAACAGTACGAGCTAATGTAGCTACTCTGAGCATTGAGGATTTAATTTAATCATGGAGTAACTCCACCAGTCAGAGCTCCAACAGGACAATATGATCATACCACTGCCTGCTGCAGAAGAAGTGACCACAGATTACATGTTCTAGCATATTTAACTATTTCACTGACTCTGTTCTTCCGACGGTGATGTGATGAACAACCTGAAAAGCTCTGAGGCGTAAGTATCTACACAGTAATAAGGTCGGTGGTGTTTTGTTAAAAGAGGTGGGACACAATCTTATTTACCTTAAAGCAGACACAGAGCCCAGACAAAGTCCTCCATCACCGAGCTTGGGCTAATTGCAGAGAAAATCATTAATTACAGAAGACGAACAAATACAACACTGCTGTGTCCTTCATACACTTGAAATCATACTTGATATTTTCGTCACTGTTTCAATCCTCACGATCCAGTGTCTCTTCTAAGGTGGTTTATTGTAGTCCAGACACAAAGTAGGATGCAGGTTTTCCTCCATCAGCCGTTTGTCAACAAAGAGAAATGAGCACATATACAGCAATATGAATGGTCTCTTCAAGTTCACATTTTTCATCCACAATCTTCTCAATTCCTCATCTGTAGGTAGATGATGGAAACTATACAGCTTTTCACAGGAACGCTCTTTTTGTTTTGGATCTGTGTTTAAAACATTATTGTTGTAGCCACTGATGGTTGTTTCAGGTACCTGAACTCCACAAGGCTATTTTAGTAACAAAAAAGGTTAAATCATTTTTAGTACATTTTATGGTTGTTAAATAAATACAAACAAAACAAAAACGGTGTTTTATCTGCTGAACTGAATGCAAATAACTTTCAAATACACCGTGGTCCATGCTCCGCTACCATGGTTAACCAATGCTTACTGCTACTTCCATTGTCTGACAAGACGCTGTACCCATAATCATTTATACAGTAGAGCCCTCAGGAATAAGGTGGATAGCATAAACCTCCTAACTACATATCATACGTTAAAAAAAACATCCTCCCCAAAAAGCTTAAAAATGTTTCCCAAAAATAACTTTGGTGTACACTGTTCCTTTATATGTAACTCTGTAAGCATGTAGATCATGATAAATGTCTTGATTTTTAATATAAATAGGGCTTTTCTAAGTATGACATGTTTTGCCCCCACTCTCAAGAATCAGTAATATGTCAGTCCTTTTTACAGACAGTCAGGTGAAATTTGGGGTGGTAGTAGCTGAGAGTCATCCTCAACACATACAGTACCTGTTGTGCGAGGTTTTTGTTTAATGTTTCACATGCACAGTGGGGGCGATCTGCAATCCTTCTAAGAATGCTAGTTTCATTCAACTCCTCACTTCTCAGTTCTAAGGCCGACAGTAAGTGCTAAATATTATCTTGAATTGAGAAGTTCCCTGAAAAGGCATCACTCGAGCACAAATGAGTTTTATTATAAACAAAAGTTTCAGTTTGTATTCAGTCCTCCTTACTAAAAAAACTCTGTGTGTCCTTGAAATGAAACAAAAGTCCTTACTCGTGCCACATTTGTAAAACCTTTTGTTTCTTAAGTTTAAAAGCCTTTATTTTTTTCACCCACATTTCCTTGCCATGTGTAAACATTTGTTTCTTTTGTTGGTACATATCTAATCACATACACTATAAATCGTTTACTGCTGTTATTTATACAGGCAGCTAATGCACGTTGTAAAGATCAGATGTTATATTCATTATAAATCCTTTGGGTGGAGTACAAACCAGATTCCAAAAATGTTGGGACACTAAACAAATTGTGAATAAAAACTGAATGCAATGATGTGGAGATGGCAAATGTCAATATTTTATTCGTAATATAACATAGATGACAGATCAAAAGTTTAATCTGAGTAAATGTAACATTTTAAAGGAAAAATATGTTGATTCAAAATTTCAGTGTCAACAAATCCCCAAAAAGTTGGGACAAGTAGCAATAAGTGGCTGGAAAAAGGAAATTGAGCATTTAACGAACAGCTGGAAGACCAATTAACACTAATTAGGTCAAATGACAACATGATTGGGTATAAAAAGAGCTTCTCAGAGTGTCAGTGTCTCTCAGAAGCCAAGATGGTAAGAGGATCACCAATTCCACCATTGTTGCGCAGAAAGATAGTGCAGCAATACCAGAATGGTGTTACCCAGCGTAAAATAGCAAAGACTTTTAAGTTATCATCATCAACCGTGCATAACATCATCAAAAGATTCAGAGAATCTGGAACAATCTCTGTGCATAAGGGTCAAGGCCGTAAAACTCTACTGGATGCTCGTGATCTCTGGGCCCTTAAACGTCACTGCACCTCAAACAGGAATGCCACTGTCAAGGAAATAACAGAATGGGCTCAGGAATACTTCCAGAAAGCATTGTCAATGAACACAATCCACCGTGCCATCCGCCGTTGCCAGCTGAAACTCTACAGTGCAAAGAGGAAGCCATTTCTAAGCAAGCTCCACAAGCTCAGACGTTTGCACTGGGCCAGGGGTCATTTAAAATGGAGTGTGGCAAAATGGAAGACTGTTCTGTGGTCAGATGAGTCACGATTTGAAGTTCTTTATGGAACACTGGGACGCCATGTCATCCGGACCAGAGAGGACAAGGATAGCCCAAGTTGTTATCAATGCTCCATTCAGAAGCCTGCATCACTGATGGTATGGGGTTGCATGAGCGCTTTTGGCATGGGCAGCT